ATTTGAATGTGTGTGTGTGTGTGTGTGTGTGTGTGTGTGTGTGTGTGTGTGCGTGCGTGTGTGTGTGTGAGTGTGTGTGTAAACAGGGCGGGGTTTGAGCAGGACATTGACGGTGACCAATCACATTCATTTGACAAATGCACAGGTAAGTGAGTCGCTGTCACATTACAGCAGCGATGCTTCACTTCTGAGCTAGATGCTGCCATAATACTTTATTTTAATCTCAGATATATATGGATCTTGCAAGTATAAGAGAGAATTTTGGCACTGATGTTTGATTAAAGTTTGTCATTTAACATAAGAGGAAGTGATAAGCTTGATTCCATGCTGCTTTTATCAGTGACTTGATGTAACAGACCTGTTAAAAACTAATGTAATACTAATGAACTAATGCTGATCTCTTCTATATTTGTGTATGTTCAGATGTGATGTCAGCAGCAGGAAGTGATGTGAACTCAGCTGTGGATTCAGCCTCTGGTCAGTGTCACACACATTATGATCTGATCGAGTTTTTTGGACAAATATTTTAAAAATCTAAAAAATGTGCATTCAAATGTTTTATTTTTTTTGAGCATCTCAGTTGCTCCATCAGGCTTTTATGGCTCATATAGTCTGATATAGTGAGAATATGGAGGAAAAACAGCTCAAAATATGAATTTGGTGCAGATGCTGATTTTATATGATGAGATTCTGATGCTTGTAATGTAAATCAATGAGATCTTTCTAACAGTGCAGCAGATACTGACATAAAATGCTATAAATATCAGTGGTCGCTCTATATCTCCAGTAACATGTCTCAGTAAGATGAGATTGAAATGCTCCAAACATATAATGCAGTGATTGAGAGCTGAAGAAATAAAGGCTCCTCAGAAGATGTGAGATGTTCTGGAGGCTTGTGAAGATAATTCCTCCGCTGAGGAACAGTGAAAGTAAAGCTTCTGGAAACAAACGCTCCTCAAAAGATCCTGAGGATCAGATTTGAGACTCTAAAACATGATTGATGGAGAATCAAGTAAAGCTGAGCCGTTTCAGTCCAGTAAGAGTTCATCTGGAGATATTACTGCAGTTATTCTGACGCTTACTTGATCAAAATCAGTCCAGATCTGACAGCAGAAAGACACGAGAAGAGTTTCTATCATTACTCTAAAAGAGCTTTCACTCAGACATGAGGAGATTGAGTGTGAAACAGCAAAGTTTGATCATGCAGCTCAAAAACAACAGAACAAAGATGCAGAGTAAACCTTAATTTTGGTGACAAATATTTTTACATTCAGATTGCTAAAACATTTGCGTTGCAATTAAAACCATGTAAAATAAAAAAAAGTGCAACCCAGCGTAACAATTTATCCAAAGGAACCTACAATTTCTATTCATTAGACAACTACATTAGTATTAGGAACAAAAGAATTGTAATTGACAGCTAAATATGAGATGAACGAGAGTAAAGAATAAGATCAGTCTGTCTCTGTAGGTGTAAAGCAGCTCCCTGACGCGCCGGGTCACTACACTCTTCTGGGCTCGTGTGTGTTGGTGGCGTTCGTGTTGGGCGCCGTCGTGTCAGGTTTGCTGGTGTCCTGTTACTGCGGTCAGAGATCCCACCAATCACAGGAGCCCGAGGCGTCGCTCTCGCTCAACAGCCTCGCCACATTCAGCCGCCTCACAGACACCAAACCAGACAAGAACGACCTCCCGTCCTCTCAGACCTACAGCTCCGTTAAACCACATGCTACTGAGGAGGAGCTCGTCTCGAACCTGCCCACTCCTGATTCGACCCCGGAGCTGCCAATCAAGAACTTAAAGGCTCTAAACAGCCAATGGGAGAGAAGCCACACCCACAGCTTCACCCTGCAGGTGTTTCCCACCAATCAGACGCTTCCCAGCAATCACACGCCCTCAGAGAGCCACGATGATGATGCGTTTACACACATGCAGAATCTTGATCTTGCGAGTTCATCCTTGCACATGCCAACATCGTATTACAGCTGCCTAAAAGACATGCCTGAAACCTCAGCGTTTCCGCTACAAACGCTTTCTGAGCGGCCAGACTGCAGCACAAGCTCCTCACAGCACCACATGCTTATAAAGATGCTCACAAACGCCCGCCAGCACAGCTTCAACCAGAAATCAGCGCAACCGGGAAACATCTACGAGCTTCACAGGCCTTTAATCGCAGGCGGCTCGTGTCTGACGCGACAGCACAGCTACAGCGAGCCTCCGCTGCTCCAGCGGGCAGCTATCATCAGACGCACAGAGTCGCTCAAACCACAGATCCCACCCAAACCCACAAACATACCCCACAAAACACTACACCTGCCCTCGCACGCCAAACACAGCTACTGAGACACCACCAGCACACCAAAGGTCAGAGGTCAAAGACACGGCAGGTTTGGAATTGAATACTAGCATACTGATCACTGCACAGTGTATACTGTATATAGCACTTTATACTATTATGTTGCATGTTTAATTCAGCAGTTGAGGTCCAGTTGACTTTCAAATAAAAAGGTTATTTTGCATTTCTAATGCGATTTTGTTTCCCTTGACAAAAATCTAATTTTTTCTATTGGCTTCTGTATTATTTCAGAAAATAAGCTCTTGTGACCAACAAAATCTTTAGCATACTGATTACATTGGGTATATGGGAAACATGTTTAATTCGGCATTCGACGTCTAAGTATCTTTTTTATTTGTAACAAACAAATGCTATTTTACAATTTTAACACTATTTCTGTTCCCTCGACCAAAAAGCTCAACAAATAGGATTTTCCATTGCCTTTTAGATTAGACTTATTGGAAATTCAAGACAAGTTTTGTCTTTAAAACAATCTTAAGAAAAAAAGATGAGAATTTTTAAAAAATGTTTTGGGAATACTAAAAAAAAAAAAAAAAATGTAGTTATTTTGTATATTTATTAGTGCTGTCAAACAATTAATCGCATCCAAAATAAATTTTTTTGTTTGTATAATATATGTGTGTATATTGTGTATATTTATTATGTATACACACACATGCATGTATATATTTAAGAAAAATTTTACGTTTATATATTAAATATATTTAAATATTTGATATAAATTATATGAATATAAATATATACATGCAAATATTTTCCAAATATATACTGTATGTGTGTGCATTTATACTGTATATACATAATAAATATACACAATATACACACATTATGTATACAAAAACTTTTATTTAGGATGCGATTAATCGTTTGACAGCACTATTATTTATTTTTGCATATTCGTTAATCGAAATTACATTTTCCATTGGCTTTTTGGATAAACATCTCGGGGATTTGAGAAAGGTTTGAGGATATCCTAACTTTTAAGTTATTTACAAAGTTTTTTTTAAGAACTATTTTCAGTTCAAATTCTTAAGTTTTGTCTTTCAAAAAATCTGAAGGAAAAAAGATTAAGAACATACAAAATTCTTCAATTCTTCTAACGTTTTGTGTTTTTAACGCAATTCTGGTTATCTCATCAAAATCTTGACAAATAGGATTTTTCTTAGAATGAGCTCTATGACCAGCACACCTGAGCATACTAATTACTGCACAGTATATACTGTATATAGCAAACATGAGCTCATTACGTTGCATGTTTAATTATTCAGCATGTGGCATCCAATTAACTTTAAAATAAAACGGTTATTTTGCATTAACGCAATTTTGGTTCCATCGAAGAAGTCTTGACAAATAGGACTTTTCCAAAAGTTGGAGGTTATCCTAATTTTAAGGACTTGTGATGATTTTTAAATAACTTTTTTTTAAGGAATACCAACTAATTTCTTGAGTCAAATCAAATGCATAGCATTGTGGGATACAGTATTCCATATTGGTAGATCATTCACATACTGTGTCCAGTAAACATACTGCAGGAGAAGAATGAATAGTATGCTAGTATCTCTTCTGAACATCAGTCAGAAAACTAATGCAGTTGAGTGCGTTTGTGTAGCAGTGACTCAATGCAGTGTGTGTGTGTGTGTGGTGAGTGAGTGAGTGAGTGAGTGAGTGAGTGAGTGAGTGAGTGAGTGAGTGTGTGTGTGTGAGTGTGTGTGTGAGTGAGTGTGTGAGTGTGAGTGTGAGTGTGTGAGTGTGAGTGTGTGTGTGTTTTCATTGAGGAGGAAGCGACACGAGCCGGACTGAACTCTTTATCACCGGATCACGTTCACCAGTGAATCAGTAAAACCTCCACAGCATCACATCAGACTGACATTATTAACACAGAGGTTGCTCATGTGTTTAACTGCATTAATGAGATATAATGTGTTTGCATTGATTTGTGCCTTACATGAGAGAGGTCAGAGGTGATGATGTTCCCATTCATCTCAATGCAGGACCTTCTGGAGAGCACCGCTTCATGAACAATTTCACAGACAGGTTTCATTGAGTTGTAAATGTCATGTGACCGATCAATCTGTGTTAGAAATCTCTGCAGGAAACAGAAAAATGTCTCTTTAATGCTTTCGAGAGCCTCTGAAAATATTGGTGACTGGTGAAGTATTTAATTATATATTCACAGATTGCATTTTGCTTGCAAAGAACACATTTCATCAGAAAACATTTTCTGAAGGAAGTATTTTGGGGCCTGCAGCAAATATGAGAGACAGGATGTGATGTTATGTTTATTTGAATGAGCTATACATAATGATGAGTAATAAATGCTGTGCTCTCACACAGCGGGAATTGCTGAAGGTTTTATTCTTTATGCAAAACAATCTAAATGAGACTCCATGTTTGATTTTTAGATAATTTACTATTGAAGTCTGTTTAAAGTAAAAGAAAAAAAGAAGGCAACTTTGACTTTTTATATAACAGTTTGGACTTTATATCTCGCAATTCTTAATTGCTAGAAACAAAATGGCAAGATATGCTTTTTTATGACCTCTCGCAATTGTTTTTTTTTTTTTTATAGGAACAAAAAATAAAAAAGGAAATTGAAACATTTTCTCTCTCTTTTTTTTTCCTCGCAGTTGCGAGTTTGTATCTCACAATTCTGTTTTTATTCCTGTCACAGATTAAAAATAAAAAAAGGTAATTGCATTTTTTTGTATCTTACATTTGTTTGTTTTTCTTGCAAATTGCAAATAGATTTTCTCTCACAATTGTTTTTTTTAATAGATTAAAAAAAATAAAAACATAATTATAATTTGTTTCTAATCTGATTTTTTCTCTCACAATTGCAAGTTGCAAGGAAAAGTCTGAATTATATATAAATATAAACTCAGAACTGTGAAAAAAATCTGAATTGTGAGATAAAAATCTATCCAATTCTGTGGCAGAAACAAGCTTTCATACATTTAGATCCTCTGCTCATCAAACTAATTTTTACTGCCTAAAATCACAGGTCGGAGGTCAAAAAAAGACCTGCAGTCCTGCACTTGTGTGTGTGTGAATGGAAAAGAATGGAGCTGCGACAAACCCCTCCTCCTCTGACAGTAGCTCCACCCACCTGACCAACGGAGGCTGTGATTGGTGCAGCCTGAGCGTTTGTATCAGTTTTAATAAGACCACTATATTGTGTGAGATGACTATGAATTTGTGAGTTTCTCAGGAGATAGTTATTCTGTGTAATCTGAATGAAATCACTGATCATTAATCAGAATCAGAATCAGAATGAGCTTTATTGCCAGATATGTTTACACATACAAGGAATTTGTTTTCGGGATAGAAGCTTCCACAGTGTAACAGAATGACTGACAGAACAAAAAACAGATAAAAAATAGAACAAGTAAATAAGGAATAAAAATTCCCCCGACTACATTGTCCAGCAAAACATCAGAATAATCGAAAACCGGTGAAATATCAGGTGGTGTGTACTTCCGAATGTCCAGCAATTCGTCTCTGGTGAAACTGATTGCAGGGATATAACTAAAGACAGGACAAACTAACAAAAACATAAAAACAACTGCGGAGCACGCCACGGAGGCAGCCATCAGCGTCGGCGCCATCGTTAGAATCATGTATAATAAATGTATAATAGAATCAATAATAATAAACTGGCACAGTTAAATGCTCTTGTGCACTTATTATATATGTGTGAGAGAGTGTGTGTGAGTGTGAGTGTGTGAGTGTGTGTGTGTGTGT